TTTCCTAATCCATGTGTCATCAGTAGCAGGGATATTCTACAAGGTGTACTTATAACCAAATATGCAAAATATTTACTAATATCTTATATCCAAAATACTCCCTTAAGGGACCTTCCCTCACCTTAATACCCTGCTAGGGGAGGGGGAGTGGGGGTGGGGGATACCAACACATCTAAATTACTCCACCAGGGGACACCCACTCACCCAAATTACTCCACCAGGGGAAACCCACTCACCCAAATTACTCCACCAGGGGAAACCCACTCACCCAAATTACTCCACCAGGGGAAACCCACTCACCCAAATTACTCCACCAGGGGACACCCACTCACCCAAATTACTCCACCAGGGGACACCCACTCACCCAAATTATTCCACCAGGGGAAACCCACTCACCCAAATTACTCCACCAGGGGACACCCACTCACCCAAATTATTCCACCAGGGGAAACCCACTCACCCAAATTACTCCACCAGGGGACACCCACTCACCCAAATTACTCCACCAGGGGACACCCACTCACCCAAATTACTCCACCAGGGGACGAAGGGCGGCTGGGTAGACTGATGGGCGGGCCGGTGGGTGGAAGCCTTAGGGGGGAGCAGCTGTGAGGGAGCTGTGGTGGTAGTGGTGGTGGTGCTGGTGGTGGTGGTGGTGGTAGTGGTGGTAGTGGTGGTGATCTCTGCCGGGGGGAGGGAGACGGTGCAGGATTAACACTCACAGTGCTCTAAAACGTGATTGGGAAATAATAGAAAAAATATAACAAATTGGCAAAGAAAAATCAGCTGATTATGAAGCACGTGGCAGAGTGCTTTGTCATGTAAACAATAACAAATCAGCTGATTGTGAAACACGTGGGAGAGTGCTTTGTTATGTAAACAATAATAAATCAGCTGAAGTAAACAATAGCAAATCAGCTGATTGTGAAACACGTTGGTGTGCTTTGTGATGTAAACAATAACAAATCTGCTGATTGTGAAACACGTGGCAAAGTGCTTCGTGATGAAAGCAATAATAAATCAAATGATTGTGAAGCGCGTGACAGAGTGCTTTGTAATGCATCTAAATGAAAAGAAGCTGATTGCATCCACGTTGGTGAGTCCATAAGTAGTATAAAAATGGTCAAAGAGCAAGAAAGTTAAGCCAGAATCATCTAACTTCGATACATGCAATAAACTAACCTGTGAAGAGATTGTGCATCTTGTACACAGTGAGAAAAGTTACGCAACAGTCTGATTAGTTAAGTGATTGTGCTACAGTCTGCTGAGTGGAATAATTGTCACACAGTATCTCTCAGTGAAGTGATTGTGAAGCAATTGGCTCCGTGGAGTGATTGTGCAACTTATCCAAAACGTGGGGTCTCGCCTGCGCTGCCGTGCGGTGTAGACGTGTCGCCTGACCGCTCCAGTTGTTTGGGGGGATTGACGTTTTCGCCGGCAGGAGTGTGGGTGTCTCTACCCTCCCTGCTGTTCCTAGTCGAGTGGACGTGGTGCTTTGACGATGGGCGGCCATCTTCCAGCTGTCGTGAGGGTGAACTCCATCGGTTTGGAGTTTACTGGCCGTGCAGGATACCCTCTTGTGGACTTGGTCTTGAGTGACATGCTCAGGGTCCCAGTTCAGGACGTCTATGGTGTCGAGCTGGTCACTGCTCCCCGTGTTATAAAGTTTGTGAGTGAGGCGGTGTACCGTGATTTTCTCGGGAGGTACGAGGGGCGTACTTTGCTGCTGCAGGACGGCAACGGGTCTGTGACCATTTCGGACCGCAGTGGTGCTGTGACATATGTAAGGGTTCATGGCGCCCCCATGGAGTTTCCTGAGACCCTCCTCCGGCGTTTCTTCCAGAGGTATGGCCCCGTCGTCAGTGTGCGGATGAACTCGCTGTCTTCTGGGAAGTATTCGGGTGTGAAGACCAACATTGCGACCCTCGGGATACGACTGAGGTCGGACATTCCATCCTCTGTCCGGCTGTTAGGGTACTACGTGCGGGTGTTTTATGCCCGGCAACCCCGTACTTGTTTCCGGTGTGGTTTGTTGGGGCATCAGGCTGCTGGGTGCACTGCTGATCTGGTTGCTCCTGTGAATTTGTTCCGTGAAGAGGATTTCCCGCCGCTCCCTCTGGAGGAGGACTCCGGGGGTGAGGAGGTGAGCGTCCCGTTCGCTGCTGAGGCTTCCCCAGCGTCGCCCGACGTTCCCCCGATTGTCGCAGACCCTCCTCCTGATGTTGCGGTGCTGGCGGATGTTACTTCTGGTCCTGTCTCTGGCCCTGCTGTTCCCGTGGGCCTTCCTGGTACTCCCTGTGAGGCGTCGCCGTATGCTCCCTCGTCTTCGGCTGCTGAACCTGGCCCTGCATCCTCACCACGGGTCCCTACTGTGCTGCGTGCTGGGGTGGCTGCGGAGCCTCCTGCTGTGTGTGGTCCGGTTCCCCCTGTGGTGGAGGCTGCTGCCGTTCTGCGTCGGGCGTTGGTTCGTCCGGCTAGTGGTGCTCGTGCTTCTGGATCCGCTTCCGGCTCTGACGATATCCGGCCGGAGCCCAAACGTTCCGGCGTTCGTCTACTGCCTGGGCCGATGTTGGGAACTTCAGTGACTGTTGGTCTTCAGGTGTAGACGGCGTGGATCCGGATGCGTCGTTGTCTACGCGGTTGGTGATGGCGGAGGTTCATGTGCCTGCTGGTGCTGATGCCCGTGTCTCGGGTGTGCCTTCTGTTCCTTTCCCGCCCGGGGGCTCTCCGCAGTGGGGTGTGGTGGCTTCCGCTGCCAGGGATGGTGGGGATGCTGGTGCTGGGCGTGGCCTGGTTGTGACTTTACGAAAGGATGCGCGTCGCCCTGGTTCCCTGCAGTCGTCTGGTGGTGTGCCCGTGGCTGCTGGTGCCCCAGTGGTGGTGCCCACTGTCCGGCTCTGTCCTGTGGGGTTGCGACTTGAGGTTCTGGAGGCCGTGGTTGCCGAGTCCCTGCGGTCTGAAAGGCTGGAGGACTTTCATGATGGGCGAGTTCCAGGTGTATGGAATAGGGTGGCAGTTACTCGCCTCCGGAGTAATACATTCTGGGTTCCCTGTTTGCAGGTGTTTGTTGCCGGGGTTCCGGATGACATGGCGTTCCCGGTGGAGGGTCAAGCCTCTTGGGGGCGGTGGCTGCTTTGGGAGGCGTTCAATGTGCGGTTCCCCCGGGTCTTGTTCCCGGGCAAATATGTCAGCTGATTTTATGTTACTGTAGTGTTGTGTGCCCCTATGGCCTTTTGTTTGCCCAATTGTATTCTGTGCCCGTGCCTCTTCCTTCTTTGCTGCGAGGCCGGTGTTTCGGTAAGGGCGTTTTTATTCCTGTATTTGCTTTTGTGTCGTTACTTTGTCATGTGTGTTCTACTTATGCATTGCTTGACTGTGTTGATTTTTGTTTTTATTTTTTTTGTTTTTATTTTTTTTCATTTTTATTATTATTATTTTTTTTTTTTTGGCTTGTCGTGTGCTGTGCGATTTTCTTGTTCTATTTCATGATGTCCTTTATGATGTGTTTTGTTCTCGGTCCTTCAGGCCGGTGCTTGTTTGTTGTTGTGTGTGTTACTATGTTTTGTTTTCTTGATTGCATGGTTTGCTTCTTTATTATTATTGTATATTTTGGCCTCTCCCTTTGTTGCGAGGCGCTTGGTTTGGTGTGAGTGTTTTTATTCATGCATTGTTTCTGTGAATGTCCCTTGCACTGGTGTTTATTATTGCATATTACATGTTGTGCTTGTGTGTTATTTTTGTTTTCATTGTTGTTTATTGTGATTTTCTTGTTACGTTTCATGTTCTACATCTTGATGTTTGTTGTGTTTCATGTTATACATCTTGATGTGTTTGTTTCATGTTGTGTTTCATGTTCTACATCTTGATGTTTGTTGTGTTTCATGTTCTACATCTTGATGTTTGTTGTGTTTCATGTTATACATCTTGATGTTTGTTGTGTTTCATGTTATACATCTTGGTGTTTGTTGTGTTTCATGTTCTACATCTTGATGTTTGTTGTGTTTCATGTTATACATCTTGATGTTTGTTGTGTTTCATGTTATACATCTTGATGTTTGTTGTGTTTCATGTTATACATCTTGATGTTTGTTGTGTTTCATGTTCTACATCTTGATGTTTGTTGTGTTTCATGTTCTACATCTTGATGTTTGTTGTGTTTCATGTTATACATCTTGGTGTTTGTTGTGTTTCATGTTATACATCTTGATGTTTGTTGTGTTTCATGTTATACATCTTGATGTTTGTTGTGTTTCATGTTATACATCTTGATGTTTGTTGTGTTTCATGTTATACATCTTGGTGTTTGTTGTGTTTCATGTTATACATCTTGATGTTTGTTTTGTTTTATACTGTTTTGTATTGTAATGTTACTGTGCTTGCTTCTTTGACATTGTTTTCTCTCTTGATGTATGCTCTTGCATTTCTCGTGTTTGTAATATGTTGTCCTGTGCTGTCGGCCCTTCTGTCAGGTGGTTTATTGTTTTGTTTTGTTTTGTTATGTTTTCTTTGTACTTTTCTTGTTTTTATTATATTTAAATTGCATTTTCGCATGTAAAAATAAAAAAATAAAAATTATCCAAAACAAGGAAAGTTATGCAACAGTCTGATTAATGAAGTGATTGTGCTATAGTCTGTTCAGTAGAGTGATTGTGCAGTATACTGCTCGGTAAAATGATTGTGCAACATACTGTTCAGTAAAGTGATTGTGCAAGAAACTGCTTAGTAGATTGAGTGTGCAACCAATTGCTCAGTTTAATGATTCCCCAAGTTTCAAAATCTTGGACATATACTTGATGATATCAACATCTGGCTGCCTGAGCGGTGATTTTTGTTTGTTTGCAGGTATTGTTTTGTTTGTTTGTTTAACAAGAGTCGTCGGTTGCTGTAGTCAAGCTCTGTAACGAGTTAGATTAAACCCTCCAAAGTTACATTTTTAAACAGAACACAACTCAAGAGTAACAAGAGAATCTTCAATTATAAATAATTACACGAAGAGAATATAAGACAATAACCGAGTTGAAAGCAAATAACACAAACGTGTATTGGACAAGCAAGGACACTATTGTGTACCTGTATTTGTTGTATTTGTTTTTTTGTTGAACAAGCCTCCATTGTATTTGTTGTATTGTACTTTATGTACAATATGTACAGTATTTCGTGTTTGCAAGAAATAACGTATTATTATCATGAACAAATGACAACAAAAAACAGATTAGACTAATACAACGAAACAAGAACATTAGATCCATACATGTATTTAAATGAAATATAAATGCTTCAAAACAGCATGATGGCAGAATATGTATGAATCAATAAGACGAATGACAGCTGTCTAATTAAGACGGGATGCAAGACTGACGACAATAGCCATGATTAGACTCAGCTCTACATAAAGGCAAAGCTACATCACCCGGGGAGTATGGAGTTACTTACGGCATACTGCATATGCTTCTGCTAGTTCCAGGGAATCACTTGCTTGAATTGAATAATATGAGCTATGTAACTGGGGATCTTACAGTCGTGGACCAACAGTCTTATTATTCCCATTCCTAAACCTAACCAGCCTTTCTCCCAATCTCCCTCACTAGTTGTCTCTGTAAGTGTCTTGAGAGGATGGTTCTATACCGTCTCTTTTACAGAATTAGTAACATGTTGTCTCCCCAGATATATGGCTTTACGCATGGAAAGAGTGTACATCACTGTATTACCACTTTCCTGACCCTGCTTACTGATAGGTCATACACCACTTTCCTAGATCTTATGTCAGCCTTTGACATTGCTAACCCACACGTCATTTCATTCTGAGCGAAGTTGTTAAAATGAATGTTGGAGGATTGCTTCTACGGTGGATAAGAGACTATCAATCCAACAGGAAGTCATCTGTACTGTTCCAAGGGCATAGGAGTGTAACGAGAGATTTTGAGCTTGGCCCTCCACGGGGAGGTGTCCTCAGTCCTACTCTGTTCAATGTGTTAATCAATGCACTCCTCAACTCAGTAACCAGAAGGCCCAGCGAACACATCATTAGCTATGCAGATGATAGACTGATCCACACCAATGGGTATACCAACACCCAAAATGTCCTGAACTCTGTATTGCACACATTTCGGGAACTATACTTAGTCATCTCAGTAAAGAAAACAAAGATCGTGAACCGACGCCCACCCAGACGAGGTGGGGCTGTTCGCAAGATGTAACTGCATGATGGCTCGCTGCTCGACTATGTAACCAGATACAAATACCTTGGTCCTGAGGTCCCACAGTACCGCAATGTTGTAGCGAGACTGGGTCGTCAATGTAGAGAGAGGCTCCGTGCTCTCAAGGCTGTGGCAGGCTACCATCCAAGCTATGTCTCAAATTTGAGAATTGGCAAAATGATGTATCTCTCATATATTAGGTCTCTGATCGATTATGCTGCACCCATGCTTGCTCTAGTGCCTGAGAGAATGCTTGGAGGGCTAGAAAAGATGCAAAACGAAGCCATGAGGATTATCCTCAGATGCCCTCGTACAACTAAATTACTAAACATGAGGAAGGAACTGAATATTTCATAGGTAAGTAATCGTATCACTGAAATTAATGCTTAAATTTGTGTCAAGATGCTTAGTCTAATCCACCCTAACCCCTACACTGAACCCCTCCAAGCCTTCTTCCTTGAAGGTTAGCATCCCTCCAAATGGATTACCAAAACCGCCGCTGTGCTCAGAATGTATAATATTCATCACCTCTACCAAGAGAGACAACAATGACACTTTCCTGCCCCATGGGAGATCACACCTTTCCAAATTACTGGTCCGCCTTTCCCACTCAAGAAGTTGATTAAAGAACAAGCCTTCCTTCCCCAATGAGCAAGCCAAATTAACCAAGTGATGCTTTGGTCAGAGAGCACTCCCTTTCCCAAATTATTTACACTAATGGATCCTTGCACCAGTCCATAGACCCGAACGTCTATGGGTCATCCAATAAAGTTAGCAGACTTCTGAATGTTACCACTGCTAGGCTTAGGCTCGGCTACAAGTACTGGAAGTTTGCAACATCTGCTGATGTAGATTTTACAAAATGTAAACCTCTGTCAGCAGAACTATTCGCAAACTTTACGTAATTATATACTGGAATGTGAAAAAATCGCGGAATTCAGAGATAACACTATTAATGGAGTCCAAGAAATGTGTAAAAACGTTGTTCATAATGATGTGCTGTCGGGGATCTTAGCGAAATATTCCAAAGTTTGCTTACTGTAGGTGCAGCCTGCACATGACTGTAAAGCTGCGCCCAGTTGGGTGGGTGTGAAGCAAGACAAGTAACTGTGTGGCTCACCATAGATGTAACGTGCCTTGTATAGTGACTGTTGTGAGCCTCTTGTTGATCACTTGTGATACAAAAGATTATCGATGTGTATATGTATTTATGTAAATGATTGTATATATATATATATATATATATATATATATATATATATATATATATATATATATATATATATATATATATATATATATGTGTGTGTGTGTGTGTGTGTGTGTGTGTGTGAGAAAGCTGCATGAACGCTCAAGCCATATATCACTAAGAACTCTTTGACCCGGCCAGGATTCGAACCCATGCCGTCCAGGATCACCTCTAAACGTACACAGTACCGTGACCACCGCACCAATGATCGTCTAGACGATCATTGGCCTCGATCAAGGGGCCTCGTAGCCTGGTGGATAGCGCGCAGGACTCGTAATTCTGTGGCGCGGGTTCGATTCCCGCACGAGGCAGAAACAAATGGGCAAAGTTTCTTTCACCCTAAGTGCCCCTGTTACCAAGCAGTAAATAGGTACCTGGGAGTTAGTCACCTGTCACGGGCTGCTTCCTGGTGTGTGTGTGTGTGTGGTGTGGGAAAAAAAAAAGTAGTTAGTAAACAGTTGATTGATAGTTGAGAGGCGGGCCGAAAGAGCAAAGCTCAACCCCCGCAAAAACACAACTAGTAAACACACACACACACACACACACACACACACACACACACACACACACACACACACACTTACACTTGTCGACATTCTACGTGAACAAATTGCACCTTCCATTGCCTACTCCACAACATTCCTTGAGCCCTGAAGACTCCATCCGTCTGACTTACCTCCGCCCAACTTTCATTCTGATTCCCTCCTCTCAAATCCGTAATCCTCCATCGCTCGCAAATCTCCGCCAGTGAGGATTTTTTCGAAATTCCACGACGCTTTGTTGAGCAGGAACGCGTACAAGATTTTTTTTTTCAATTTTTTTTATAATATGACTGTACATAAAAAACAGGGATGATTGAATTATTATTTATGCTGAATTCAATGGGATTTGTGTTTCTTAGTAGTGTGGACTTGAAAATCTAATATAATATACTGTAATATATTTCAAATATATATTTTTAATTATTTTTATTTGGGACTTTTTTTTTATCTTAAGAAACAGAATTTTAAAGGAAAGGATGTATATCTTTTATCGTTTATCTTAAATAAGAAATTTCGAAGACAATTTTCAATTATTTGTCCTCAAAAAATAATAAATTCTCAGCCAATAAAGTATCCCAAAAATATACGTATCAAGAAGCGTTTTAGTTTATTTAAATCAATATCAATAAACTTTTAAAAACTTTAAAAGTAACCAACCAATTACGAAGATGCGAACGATTAAACAACCCTAACAACCTCGTTACAGAACGATAATTAGTGAATTAAAAACAGCGTCGAGGAATTCTTGAGTTACTGACCTTTAGTTTCACTCTGACGGTGTAAACACATCTTAAAAAGTTTAAGATCCAGTCTACAAGAAGAAGATGTGGCGCTAAGTTTTTGCAAGTGAAAAAAATTATTCATTGACACAAAGTGATCAGGTGTTGTAGAGGAAGTAGCATTTGGGCACTCCCATAGGGAACGATATTCCCTTGTGTCCTCAGAGGTACGGTTTACACTCTCTAGTGTCCTCAGAACAGCGGTTTACACTCCCTTGTGTCCTCAGAGGTACGGTTTACACTCTCTAGTGTCCTCAGAACAGCGGTTTACACTCCCTTGTGTCCTCAGAACAGCGGTTTACACTCCCTTGTGTCCTCAGAGGTACGGTTTACACTCTCTAGTGTCCTCAGAGGTGCGGTTTACACTCCCTTGTGTCCTCAGAACAGCGGTTTACACTCCCTTGTGTCCTCAGAGCAGCGGTTTACACTCCCTTGTGTCCTCAGAGGAGCGGTTTACACTCCCTTGTGTCCTCAGAGGTGCGGTTTACGCTCCTTTGTGTCCTCAGAGGTGCGGTTTACACTCCCTTGTGTCCTCAGAGGAGCGGTTTACACTCCCTTGTGTCCTCCGGGGTAATGTTTACACTCCCTTGTGTCCTCAGAGGTGCGGTTTACACTCCCTTGTGTCCTCAAAAGAGCGGTTTACACTCCCTTGTGTCCTCCGGGGTAATGTTTACACTTCCTTGTGTCCTCAGAGGTGCGGTTTACACTCTCTTGTGTCCTCAGAGGTGTGGTTTACAATATAGTGAAGTCTCCCCCAACGCTTCGGACGTCACAGTTCATGGCCTTTAAAAGATTAATCACACCAGATCTGCCGACAAAGAGTAATGAGTCTCTTTGATGTATATTTCAATAAATACCGCTGAATAAACAGTGATATCTTGTTTATGGAGGTAAGAGTTTCATATAATGATAAGAAACTATTGCCAAACTTCAGAACTTGCAGTACTCAAAATAAGGAAATTTGATGTAATGAAACTTGGAAATGTATATATATATGTTAAACTCTCAGGATTATTACACACCAGGGAGACAGTCTCTCTAGAGTTATAGGCCAATTAAGGTGTGTGCTTGACTCTTGACTCATTTAATAAGGCTGTCACAGGATCACTGCTTACACACACATACATAACAGCCGGGGGTTCCAAAGACCGGAGAAGGAAGGAAAGACTTAACTTCGGTTAAGTCTTAAAGTTAAATTATTTAACTTGTAATAATGCTCTCAAAAGTATATGAAATATTTTGTTTTGACAAGCATTAGATTGAAACAAATTCCCATAACCTGAGATGTTTATCAAATAGTCTATATTTACAAAAACAAAATTACATTACAAAGAAAAATGATGGTATAAGTTGGACAAGAGGAGATACTCCCTATTTCTACCCCCTATCTATCTGTATCAAGAGTTTACCATCAAATTAAAATATAGATTTTAAATCTATCCAACAATTCATGAAGCCGTTTGCTATTTAAATTAAAATTCATTTGTAATGTTTAAGTGTCGCATTTGTAAATAAAGATGTATTATCCCAACTAGCTATACCCTAAAACTAATAAGTTAAAAACAATTTATACAACAGATTGTAAGAAACCCTCAAGAATATCTTCATTCCTAACAAGAAAACGTTAAAAGTGATCTCAATTGAATTTTACTTGAATTAACCGATTAAGTGAAACTATCAAAATACTTACAAATACAAAAAATATATAAAACACACACACACACACCCACACACACACACATATATATATATATATATATATATATATATATATATATATATATATATATATATATATATATATATATATATATATATATATATATATATATGTATATATCAACGCTAGGTGTTCATAAAATTAAAGATGTGAAATGTTAATATATTTGACAATAAATTACAAAGAAAATACCATGAAATTTCTAAGAAATAAGTTTATCTTAAACTTAGAGTTTAGAAATCATGTCTGTCCCTATGGACAAAAATCACTCATCATACACACTCATTCACTCATGAGTACAAGTATAGCGTGAATAAAAAAGCGCAAAAATGCTTAAAATTATTTATATTTACACACACAAATGTATTCGTGAATGCAGATATGAAAAAAAATAATAATCACATATATAAAAAAGATTGACATACAAATATTTAACCTTGCAACATATAAACATTCACATCTTTTTAAATTACAAAAACAATACAACGTATGAATTTTCTTTGATTATCAAAGTTCTTAAATAACAAAATACAAAAAAAAAATCTTCCAAACAATCACAACAACCAGGCTGGCACCAAAACAGTTCAACAAGCACCAAAACAGTTCAACAAACACCAAAACAACTCAGCAAGCACCAAAACAGCTCAGCAAGCACCAAAACAGCTCAGCAAGCACCAAAACAGCTCAGCAAGCACCAAAACAGCTCAGCAAGCACCAAAACAGCTCATCAAGCACCAAAACAAAACAGCTCAGCAAGCACCAAAACAGCTCAACAAGCACCAAAACAGCTCAGCAAGCACCAAAACAACTCAACAAGCACCAAAACAACTCAGCAAGCACCAAAACAACTCAGCAAGCACCAAAACAGCTCATCAAGCACCAAAACAGCTCAGCAAGCACCAAAACAGCTCATCAAGCACCAAAACAGCTCAGCAAGCACCAAAACAGCTCAGCAAGCACCAAAACAGCTCAGCAAGCACCAAAACAACTCAGCAAGCACCAAAACAGCTCAACAAGCACCAAAACAGCTCATCAAGCACCAAAACAGCTCAACAAGCACCAAAACAGCTCATCAAGCACCAAAACAGCTCAGCAAGCACCAAAACAGCTCAGCAAGCACCAAAACAGCTCATCAAGCACCAAAACAGCTCAGCAAGCACCAAAACAGCTCAGCAAGCACCAAAACAGCTCAGCAAGCACCAAAACAACTCAGCAATCACCAAAACAGCTCAGCAAGCACCAAAACAGCTCAGCAAGCACCAAAACAGCTCAGCAAGCACCAAAACAGCTCAGCAAGCACCAAAACAGCTCATCAAGCACCAAAACAGCTCAGCAAGCACCAAAACAGCTCAGCAAGCACCAAAACAGCTCAGCAAGCACCAAAACAGCTCAGCAATCACCAAAACAGCTCAGCAAGCACCAAAACAGCTCATCAAGCACCAAAACAGCTCAACAAGCACCAAAACAGCTCATCAAGCATCAAAACAACTCAGCAAGCACCAAAACAGCTCATCAAGCACCAAAACAGCTCAGCAAGCACCAAAACAACTCAGCAAGCACCAAAACAGCTCAGCAAGCACCAAAACAACTCAACAAGCACCAAAACAGCTCAGCAAGCACCAAAACAGCTCAGCAAGCACCAAAACAGCTCATCAAGCACCAAAACAGCTCAGCAAGCACCAAAACAGCTCATCAAGCACCAAAACAGCTCAACAAGCACCAAAACAGCTCATCAAGCACCAAAACAACTCAGCAAGCACCAAAACAACTCAGCAAGCACCAAAACAGCTCATCAAGCACCAAAACAGCTCAACAAGCACCAAAACAGCTCATCAAGCACCAAAACAGCTCAACAAGCACCAAAACAGCTCAACAAGCACCAAAACAGCTCATCAAGCACCAAAACAGCTCAGCAAGCACCAAAATAGTTCAACAAACACCAAAACAGCTCAGCAAGCACCAAAACAGTTCAACAAACACCAAAACAGCTCAGCAAGCACCAAAAAAAATTAACAATCATCAGTACAGCTAAGCTGGCTTTAAAACTGTTATGTTTCAGCGCGCACAAGAAGCAGTAGTAGTACCAACCACTACACCACTGAAATCACTTACATAAAAGACCTAAAAACACAAAAGCCGTGAGCACTCATCTTATGAGCCGCCTAAAAAGCCTGGGAATTCGAGTGACAGTCGCTCAAGGTAATTCAATTTAATGAAAAGCTCAGATGAAAAATGTAGGTACGAATATATGTCTTGGATTGCATGTTGTGTTTTGCAAAAATACTGAGAGAAGTTTTATACGTGGAAAATCTTGAAAAATATTTATATATAAATATATCTATGCCAATAAAAGCTAATGTCTGTCTATTTCTGCCTGTAATGTATGTATATATATATATATATATATATATATATATATATATATATATATATATATATATATATATATATATATATATATATATATATATATATATATATATATATGACCGAAAAAGTAAGATCAATAATTCTAACACGAATTTCCTCAATCTTTCGTACATTTCTTTTCGCTGTTGGAGGTAAATCAAAAATCAATTCTCCAAAATTCATTTTTATTTCTAGTCTGACGCGACACGAGCGCGTTTCGTAAAACTTATTACATTTTCAAATACTTTAGTTTACAAATACACAACTGAATAGAACTTACGCATCTCCGATTTTATATCTACATTTGAGTGAAGTGGATGGGGTGAGGTGGCATTAATAAGGTATTAATTTCATCAACACAAGACAGAACAAGAGGTGGCATTAATAGGGTATTAATTTCATCAACACAAGACAGAACACGAAACAATGGGTATTGAATAGAAGTGTTTGTAGAAAGCCTATTGGTCCATATTTCTTGATGCTTCTATATTGGAGCGGAGTCTTGAGGTGGGTAGAATATAGTTGTGCATTAATTGGCTGTTGATTGCTGGTGTTGACTTCTTGATGTGTAGTGCCTCGCAAACGTCAAGCCGCCTGCTATCGCTGTATCTATAGATGATTTCTGTGTTGTTTACTAGGATTTCTCTGGCGATGGTTTGGTTGTGGGAAGAGATTATATGTTCCTTAATGGAGCCCTGTTGCTTATGCATCGTTAAACGCCTAGAAAGAGATGTTGTTGTCTTGCCTATATACTGAGTTTTTTGGAGCTTACAGTCCCCAAGAGGGCATTTGAAGGCATAGACGACGTTAGTCTCTTTTAAAGCGTTCTGTTTTGTGTCTGGAGAGTTTCTCATGAGTAGGCTGGCCGTTTTTCTGGTTTTATAGTAAATCGTCAGTTGTATCCTCTGATTTTTGTCTGTAGGGATAATGTTTCTATTAACAATATCTTTCAGGACCCTTTCCTCCGTTTTATGAGTTGTGGAAAAGAAGTTCCTGTAAAATAGTCTAATAGGGGGTATAGGTGTTGTGTTAGTTGTCTCTTCAGAGATTGCATGGCGTTTCACTTTCCTTCTTATGATGTCTTCGACGAAACCATTGGAGAAGCCGTTGTTGACTAGGACCTGCCTTACCCTACAGAGTTCTTCGTCGACTTGCTTCCATTCTGAGCTGTGGCTGAGAGCACAGTCGACATATGCGTTAACAACACTCCTCTTGTACCTGTCTGGGCAGTCGCTGTTGGCATTTAGGCACATTCCTATGTTCGTTTCCTTAGTGTAGACTGCAGTGTGGAAACCTCCGCTCTTTTCCATGACTCTTACATCTAGAAAGGGCAGCTTCCCATCCTTTTCCAGTCCTCTTGGGGACTGTAAGCTCCAAAAAACCCAGTATATAGGCAAGACAACAACATCTCTTTCTAGGCGTTTAACGATGCATAAGCAACAGGGCTCCATTAAGGAACATATAATCTCTTCCCACAACCAAACCATCGCCAGAGAAATCCTAGTAAACAACACAGAAATCATCGATAGATACAGCGATAGCAGGCGGCTTGACGTTTGCGAGGCACTACACATCAAGAAGTCAACACCAGCAATCAACAGCCAATTAATGCACAACTATATTCTACCCACCTCAAGACTCCGCTCCAATATAGAAGCATCAAGAAATATGGACCAATAGGCTTTCTACAAACACTTCTATTAAAAACCCATTGTTTCGTGTTCTGTCTTGTGTTAATGAAATTAATACCCTATTAATGCCACCTCTTGTTCTGTCTTGTGTTGATGAAATTAATACCCTATTATTGCCACCTCACCCCATCCACCTCACTCAAATGTAGATATAAAATCGGAGATGCGTAAGTTCTATTCAGTTGTGTATTTGTAAACTAAAGTCTTTGAAAATGTAATAAGTTTTACGAAATGCGCTCGTGTCGCGTCAGACTAGAAATATAAATGAATTTTGGAGAATTGATTTTTGAATTACCACCAACAGTGAAAAGAAATGTACGAAAGATTGAGAAAATTCGTGTAAGAATTATTAATCTTACTTTTTCGGTCATATTTAATAATATATGTCTACAGGAAAGACTGCTACCAAAATATACTAATATATGCGGAAAATCCACAGAGAAATATGAAATGAGGTGAACGTTTCGGCTTGTTAAAGCCTTTGTCAACACCAGACTGACAGACTTTGAGTCAGTCTGGTGTTGACAAAGGCTTTAACAAGCCGAAACGTTCACCTCATTTCATATTTCTCTGTGGATTTTCCGCATAAAATGATCAGTGTTTGGTATCGTCAATTGCATACTATATATATATATATATATATATATATATATATATATATATATATATATATACCTCTAGCTGGAAGAAGGGGGACCCATAGCCTCGGAGGAAACCACGCATAACGCATTAGAGGGAATGTTTAGATCCCCTCCAATACAGTTTCTGTGTGCTTTTCTCCTACCACCCCCTTCCTTGAATATTTTTTGTGCTTTATTATGCATTTGATGGTTACAAGATATACATGGGTTGATACAAAAATAATAATGCAAAAAGGTGCTTAAAGGTTATGGATCTCTTGAAGAACACAACAATGGGAAACATTGATGAATGTCACAGACGGGTTCGATCATTGTTGCAAGTCAAACACTTCTTCGAATTCCTCTGAAGTTGGACTAGTGCCCAAGACGCAACAGGCATTTCCCCTCTGAATCGCAACACTGAGGCGCTGGAACAAGAAACTTTTTGCTCTCTGGTCTTTTGTAGCGCTGATCAATTTGTCCCCCAATTCCTTCAGGAACTTCAATGCACATTTTCCCCACGAACCGAGGGTCTCCGAGCCGATCGGAACAAAGCTGTAGCAGTGTGCTAGACCTCTGTATTTAATAATTTTCTGCGATTCCCTGAAAGAAGCAGCACCACCGCTTTCACGTGTGCTGTAGTGGAGGTAGGTACTGGCCAGTGTGGCAGCGCATGTGTAGTCCCATACCACTTGCTTACCATCCTTCCAAGGTAGCAAGGTGACCCCATCAGGGCGCTTCTGAGGGTCGTTAGGTCTGGATAAGTGTGGTTCTCTTTGTGCCGGGCAGCGGGCTGTGGCGAGGCTCCTCTTGATGATGTCGTTGACTTCTTCATGTCTTGCAATTTTACCCTGTGATTTACGACATACCAGACCATGACGACCATATTGGTCTGCCATCGCAGTTCCGCAGATGCACCTATGTTCGGTTCACCTATGTTCATGTTCACCTATGTTCTTCTTCTATATATATATATATATATATATATATATATATATATATATAATGAGAGATAGAGAGAGAGAGGGGTACCACTTCTGGTGTAGCTTAGGGGACCCATAGCCTCGGGGAAGCAGATAGGGAGCATTCAGGGAAAATGTATCATTTGTCCCTGATTTCTTGCGTATTTGCTTCTCCTACCACCCCCTATTTGATTGTGAACTCTATTTTACAAAATGTGCGGCATTAACATATACATAACTATTACAAATGAAATGAAAAAAAACAGACCAATGGGATACACAAATAAATATCACAAACAGATTCGATAATTGTTTCTAGTCAGACACCTTCTCAGACTCCTCCGAGGGTGGACTCGTGCCAAAGATGCAGCAGGCATTTCCCCTCTGAACTGCGACACTGAGCCGCTAGAACAAGAAGCTTTTCGTTCTTTAGTCTTTTCTAACACTGATCAATTTGTCACCTAATTCCATCAGGAACTTCAATGCACATTTTTCCCACGAACCGAGGGTCTCCGATCCGAGGGTCTCCGAACCGAGGGTCTCCGAACCAAGGGTCTCCGAACCGATTGGAACAAAGCTGTAGCAGTGTGCCAGACCTCTGTATTTGATGGTTTTGTGCTTTTCCTTGAAAGAAGCAGCGTCGCCCCCCTTCACGTGTGCTGTAGTGTAGGGAGGTACTGGCCAGCGTGGCAGCACACGTGTCGTCCCACACCACTTGCTTACCATCCTTCCAAGGAAGCAAGGTGACCCCATCTGAGCGCTTTTGAGGTTTGTTGGGTCTGAATAAGTGTGATTTTCTTTGTGCTGGGCAGCGGGTTTTGGCGACTCTCCTTTTGATGATGTCATTGACTTCTATATGTCTCGCAGTCTTACCCTGTGATTTACGACATACAGACAATGATAACCACACTGGTCTGCCATCGCGCTTCCGCAGATGCACCTATGCTCGGTGGGGATGGGGGCGGCAAGGCGAAGGGCAATTCCAATGCTGAGAGCGTCATGATTGAGGCGAATACCCAGGGCTGCATTGGGCACAGCAAATAAAAAATCCCCGGGGTGAGGTGCTGTTACCGCTAGAAGGCGGGCTTTGTTCCCAGCAGATGCGTTTTCAAGCATTGTTGTGACAGTCTTTTCCATTATGGGACTATCCGTGTGACCCTATGGCCTGCTTGTGACCTTTTGGGGCTTGTGGTCGGGGTACAGGGTGTGCAATGGTTTCCTACTCATTGGCTGCTTCGATAAACTTTTGATCACGAGTTCCAACTCAGTCTCTCATGCGCTCTGGTAGGATCTTTCTTACTAATTTGTTGAGAAGGCTGATAAGAATATAT